GTCGCGTGGCCGCTCGCACGCCGCACGCACGGTTCTACCNAAGCCGCTTAAGAAAATCGTACCGATCCGAGGACTACTCTGCAAATTCAGACAGTTTCCCTGACAATGCCCAATTTCACAGAAGTTAACGTATTACATGGCGGCAAAACAAGCAAATGAATTTATTGGAACTTTGGAAATTGTTGAGAGAAAGAATGAAACTTCGATAAAAGCACAGTAGTAAAGAAAAACGTCTCCGCAGCCGGTGCATCACCTTCAATCTCGCTTTCGTTTACTGCGACCAGTACAGACATCATGCGCACGTGTTCATTCGACATAACTTGCTCTAAAAAATCGGAAATTGGAAGAAGCCTAAACGAGACAAAGATTGATGCAGAAGGTGCTCACTGAATACCGTAGCCACTTCTTCAAACAGATCTCTTCTCGTTGCGTCAGCAACGAAAATAAATGAGTGCATTAGCTTCATCGAAATAGTTAACCCAAAGGGTGCGCAAATCTTCTTGCCACCGAGATTCCAGCTATTAAACAGGTGTTGTTGATTTCGACTTTACTGACTAAATGTTTGAAATCGCAAAAGGTTCAAGCAATCAGTACATATAAACATAAAATGCGAAAAGTACAAAATAAAATTTAATGACACGAATGACCATCTAGCGGATAAAGCAATTCAATCACGAATTGAGTGCACCATAAGCTTTGACAAAGCTGAGCTTTAGTTTGTTCAAGAAACGTCTAAACGTTCGACTATTTAATATGAGTTTCTTTTGAGTAATTAGTTTAGGTTATGCGTCTGTGCTAAAGAACAGCTACAGTACAGTACAGTGCCAGAGGAATATTTATCCATAACGTCGGCTATATGTCATAGAAAGAACATAGAATACAATAAGGGAATGACGCAGTGGAAGGTGAGGGCGAAGGTCGTCGTTCGGAGGGGCAGCGTCCAGGGTCCGTTGGGGTCCGATCCTCTCTCCTCCCGAGTGCTGCTCGTGCCAGCTTTTGTACCGCCGCGCCGCCGCCTCCTGTAATCAGCAGAAATCATCGGAGCAACAACTAAGCTGCTGAGCCTGACCATGACTTATTGATTTTTCTAGTGCTTTTACTTTTTGCCTTACTAAGTCTTCTGAGCTCTTACATCTCAGCTCTTNTCTGTGCTAAAGAACGGCTACAGTACAGTACAGTGCCAGAGAAATATTTATCCATAAGGTCGGCTATATCTCATAGAAAGAACATAGAATACAATAAGGGAATGAGCTGTGGAAGGTGAGGGGCGAGGTCGTCGTTCGG